TTATACGAAATGTTTTCTTCTCTCTACTTAGAAAACTTCCTGTGTGGTGGCTCCGTTCAAACTCCAATAGAACTGGGGCAGCAAGGCTAGGATTTTAATGCCTATGGATTTTAGGTTACCCATTGTGCGATTTTTTTCTCAGGATTTAGTTGCTAGAAGCTATTGTTTACCAAAAGGTTGTGAAAGAAATCCTAGCCAAGGAATGCAGGCCTTAGCATCAGGGGTTTGCTCATGTTCAGACTGAGGTGGGTTCCTGACACAGCACTTGGAACCACCTACACATCCATCATCATTGACCTGTGTGGGGCCTCAGTGGTCTGTTGTGTCATTGCAGCAGCCAGTTAACCTGGAGGGATGTCCAGCACCTGCTAGTGAAGACATCCCGGCCAGCCCACCTGAAAGCGAGCGACTGGAAGATCAATGGTGCTGGTCATAAAGGTGCGGCCGCAGCATCCTGGTGGACTCTTGGGTGACCCTGGAAGGGGGGACATGACTTCCTTGGAAAGAATCCTTAAGTAACATTAATTGTTATTATTAGGTGTCACAAAAATTAAAAACACATACACAGTGATTTAAGAAAAATATTCTGGAATCTCTCACTAATATTAAGGGAGAACCATCTGATCACAAGTGTCTAGGGTTCCCTAAACGCCATGATTTTTTCTACCTGTACCAGTATTTACTTTACCGTTCTCTTTAAATTGACTCCCTTTTTGTCTTACAAAAGACATATATTTTAAAAGAAAACTTTACATTACCTACTTCATCGTAAGTTGCATATTTAGTTATTTTTTTCTAATGCACATTGAAATAAATTCATAGTTATTAAAATAAAGGATACTTGTTTGTGTACTACCTAAGGGCAACTTACATTCTTAGCCTGAGTAGCTCCCTGATTTTGAAACTTGCCCTCAGTTTCCTCATCTATACAAAAACATTGAGATAGTTACATAAATTACTTTCTAACTGTAAAACTTCAGTTGGCTGGACCCCTATGCTGAAAAAGTGACTCATAAGGCAGAGAGGCCTACACCCTAAGCCTAACCTAACAGACCAACAATGAAATCAACCCACAGCCAGGGCTTGGTTAACTTGGATATTTGGGCCCTCTGGATTGGGTAATTAGAGGGCAGCACCACTGGCTTTGCTTGTCTGACTTCTTACTTGAGATAATGAAAAAGATTTCATCTGGCCATT